TACTTGTCCCCTGGTTTGGGTCCAGGGCCTATTCCCGGCTGGTATCCGCCTGGTTCCCCACACCGTGCTAACCTTCGTCTTCCTGGAGCAACTCCGCAAACACTTTGGCATCAAAGTGCCGGCCTGACCAGACAGAGCGTTGTTCCTTCCAGAGTCCAGGCGAGGCGGCCCAGCGCTGCGCAGCCCGGGGCTCCATCTCTCCTAGCCTGGGACTACCCCAGCACCCCTAACTCGGCCCCTTCCCACCAGAGGCCCTGTGACCTTTGCCTCCCACCCTGCAGGAGCTCCACACCACCTCCCACTGGCCTCTGAGCCACCCGAGGCCCTTCCACCTGTTCCTGCCCAGCCCCCCTGGGTATTTACAGCCCCCTCCTTCTGCACCACTGACCCTTCACTCAGGAGACAGGCCCACAAGAGGGCAAGGCTTTGGCCAGCAGCCGGGGGGCTGGGTTTTTGACACCTTCCCTTCCCGGAGACAGCCTTTTGGCTTTACACCAGAGGTGGGGTGCGACCACGGGCTTTGCTGGTCATCTGCCCCATACTGCTAGTCATCGCTGTGTCCCCCCCTCTTGCTTCATCCACCCTGTGCCCCCAAGGCCCCCGCCCCTCTGGGGTGCTGGTTCATTATGCCACTGCTCAGGACACAGCACTGTTGGCTTCTAGCAGCTTCCATTGAGCAATTGGGTGGCAGAGTAGGGGTGTGGGCCCCCACAGTTACTCCCCAAGGTGTGTACGCACGTGCACTTTTTGTCTTGTGAGAGGGACCATGGCTTCTGTCCAACTGAGGTAGCTGTGACTCCCCTGCTCCCCCAAGCTGAACTCAGAAGACAGGTACCAGTCATGGGGTGGTCCCACGCACCAGCCCTTCCCCCACCCAACCCTGTGTGGCTTTAACGATCAGTTCTGCCAAAACTTTTCTGGCCCAAGATGCCGTGTCTTCAGGGATTGGGCCTGTGCTCCTCAGGCTGTGTCTCCGTCCTTCCCTCCCACCTCCTGGGGCGTGGTGGGCCCACATTGTGAGAGCTTGAGACCGGGTGCCTTGGGTACTGGGGCCCTTCTTTCATGGTGGTCAACCACGTGCCGCCTCCTGGGTTCTGCCTGCCTGCCCAGTCCCCCAGGACCTCTGGCTGCCTCTGGAGTGGGAGGTGTGGCAGGGAAGAGGTCCCAAGGGTAAAACGTGAGATGCTTTGGACGTCATTAAAACCCCTGTATCGGCGAGACCCCTGGCTGTGGAGTCCATGCCGACTCATGAGCCCTGTGGCTACTGTGACCCTACATAGGAAGGTGCCAGGAGGGCCACCTGTGTGTCTTTGTGCTGGGACCACCATTAAAGATGAGGACGAACAGCTCCGCCCCATCTGTGTGTCTGTCCCTAGGTGTCCATACCTTGTTCCCAGGGCTGCTCACCAGCCTGCAGGCTGCTCTGGGACCAGGAGCAATGGTAGCCCCCTCTGCACCCTCCAAGGGGGCTCTCCAGTGCAGAGGCTGCAGCAGAAAGAAGTGGGTGAGGTGGACAGGGCAGTACACAGTAGGGATGGGGGTTCGGGGCTGTCAAGGTACCAAGAGTGGTTGCAGAGTTGAGGAGTCTGGGCGGCAGCCAGGTCATGGCCGAGCCCACGGGGGCCACCCTTGCCAGCCGGCTCCTGACACCGCTGCCCCCGAGTCTGAGGGCTCTGGGCTGGGGGTCAGCTTGCTGAGGGCTCCCCACGCCTGACTATGGGAGATGCCCCTTGAATCAGCCCTGCACCCTGTCACTGGCCGATAGTTAAGGAGACCCAGAGGGGACTGGGAAAGCCCTTGTCTGGAGCTGCACACCCTCCGGAGGAGCGGGCCTTCTGCGGGAGCTGATGCTGTCTCCCAGCCCCCCCAGGTGCCCCACAACCGGGCCAAAGCTGCTGCGGGGCCTCGGCTGGGGCCCAGGCAGGCGCAGTCCACTTGGCCCCCAGGACCTCTGGCTGCCTCCAGAGCAGGAGGTGTGGCTAGGAAGGAGGTCCCACAGGTAAAACGTGAGATGCTTTGTTGTTGTTGTGTTATGTGCCGTCAAGTCAGACCCGACTCACAGTGACCCCTCCTTGGGCTTCCGAGGCAGTATCACTACGGAAGTAGAGTGCCCCATCTTCCTTCCGAGGAGTGGCTGGTGGGTTTGAACCGCCAACCTTCTGGTTAGCAGTCAAGTGTCTTAGCCACTATGCTACCAGAGATGCTTTGGATGTCATTAAAACCCCTGTATGGACGAGATCTGTGGCCGTGGAGTCCATGCTGACTCACGAGGCCCCCGTGTTTGGATAGAACTGGGTTTCCAAGGGCTGTAGTCTTACAGCCCTGTATTGCCAGGCCCTCTCCCTTGGTGCCACGGTGTGGATTCACTTTGCACCATCCAGGGACCTGTATCTTCATAAAGCTGTTAGGAAAGAAAACGCCAGGCCCTGCCCCACCCACTGGGTCCTTTGGCTGCAAACCCAGGCATCGTGTTTGTAGTAAACACTTCATCACGTGTTTCTAAAACACTAAAAACGCAAAACTGCAAAAGGAAGGGAAGATATGACAGCCATTCTTTGTATCCGAGCAGCCAGTCCCTGCTCACACTGCCCAGCTGCTGCCTGCATTTTGTCAGTTGCATCCAGGTCCTGTGGGTGGGGTCCTCGGCGCATGCGCCGTTGAGCTGTACCAGGCTCCCTCCACAGACCCTCTGGGTGCGGTCTCTTTGTTGGTTCCGGTCGCCCTGGGGCTCCCTGGATCCGGATTAGGCTGGCTGCGTCCCAGGGTGGGAGGCTGTTCCTCTGACCCCACAGGGGATCTGGTGGGCGAAGCACGGATCCCAGGCTGCGTCCACCAGTCTTTCCTGTGGTGCGAGGTCTGTGCCCGTGACCCCGCCAGAGCTCAGACAGGAAGCAGCCAGCCGGGAGGTGGCGCCTGGGTCAGACCTGCGGGGTCAGGGCCTGGGGCGGTGGCTGCGGCAGCAGGTGCTTCGGATACCTGCTCAACCCGAGACCCCTCCGGCAGGACGTGCCCACGTGCGCCTGCCTCTGCTGGCGGCGTCGGGGGTCCCAGAGCCCTGGGTACCAGCCTGGAGCCACATCCCACTGGGGCAGCAGGAACACGCCGCCCAGCTCATAAACGGGTCAGGTGACGTGGGACACGGAGCTAGGCTGCAGCTCCGCTGGGACCAGGAGACGCCACCAAGCGGCGCTGGCTCCCGGGAATGTTGCACCGTTTGTCCTGCAGCGCTGTTCCCGCTCCCAGGTGGCAGGCCACGCCAGCCCCGCCCTCCTGCAGCTAACCCCCAGCTGTCCACAGATGGCGGACCCTGGACTCCAGCGAAGAAAGTGCCTGGGCTGGTGGGGACAGGCCTGGCAGCAGCCCGAAGCCAGACAGGGTGCAGAGGGTGGGGGAAGGGGCACCTGGCTCCCCGGCCCTGGGGCTGAGGATCATGGTGCACGTGGGAGTGAGGAGCTGGGGGCAAAGTCTCCAAGCCACACATACACCCAAAGCCCTGGCTTCCTGGGACAAGGAACAAAGGTAGCAGATCCAGGGCAGCAGAAATGTTTGGGGAGAACGAGCTGGGGCGGGTCAGAAGGATGGTCCCTCCCCCAAGAAGCTTACATTTTAGGGCCTCAAAGCCTGGGTCAAACAACACCTTCACCCGTTGCCTCGGGGCCATTCCATCATAGAACTGCCCTGTGAGGTTGTGGAAGCTGACGGCCTCATTTTCTTTGCAGAGTGGCTGGTGGGTCTGAAGCGCTGAACTTGTGGTTCGCAGCTGAGCACTTAACCGTTGCACCACCAGGGCTCTTTAACAGCCCCCCAGGCTCCAGCATACAGTCCTGGGGTTTCACAGCCCCCACCCTTAGTGTCATGTGGACTCCAGGGAAGAAGCTGATTAATTTCGCATTTGGGCCTTGGGGACAGTTCCTCAGCCTGCCAGAAAAAGCAGGCCTGGGCGATTCACTCTGCACCCCCACCTCTTTTTATCCTTAAAGAAAGACTTTATAGTTAACACAAAGTTACATGATAATTATCTGTTAAAAAAAAAAAGTGAAGAAATTTTAACAAGGGTGCCAAGACATGGCAGCAGGGAATGGGGCCAATGTTGCTGGGAGAACTGGATGGCCCTACCCCACGCAGCATGCAGATGAAAAATGGATCCTAGCCCCAACCTCCATGCACGAGCTAAAGGCATGACGCTCTTCAAAGTCAACATGGGGGGATTGCTGAGACCTTGGGTTGGGCAATGGACTCAGAGGTGACACCAAAAACACAAGCCACGTCCTGGCTGGTACAGAGAATCTCTGCTTGGCTGGTGACCGAAAGACTGGCGGTTCAAACGCACCCAGCGCACCGCAGGAGATCCAGGCCTGGTGACCCGCTTTCATAGACACGGCAGACAACCCTTACTCCGCAGTTAATGGGGCCTCGTCCAACAGACCCATCGACGAACACAAAGACGCACGCAACAAGAAAAATAGATCATTGGACCTCAGCCAGATTAAGAAACCACCTTCGTGCATCGAAGGATGTTACCCAGGAAGTGACAAGAAGCCTAGAGGGTGGGGATGGAGGGAGACGTGTGAATCATGTGACTTGCCAGAGGTCAGAGTACAGAAGGAACTCAACAGCAGACAGGCAGACAACCCAGAGGGAACGTGGAAGACCTTGAAGACGGGTGTTTCCAAAGAAAACACACAAATGGCCAAGGAGCACATGAACAGGTGCGCGGCTTCGATCGTCACAGGACGGCAGAGAGTGAGCGGCCCAGGTGTGGGCAGGGACGAGAAGTCGGACCCTCGTGCGTTGCTGGTGGCAGTGTGACGCGGTGCAGCCACTGCAGAAAACATATGGGTGGGTCTTTAAAAAGCTAAACATAGAATGATAACCACAGAAGAACTGGGAGTGGAGCCTCAGAGCTGGGTACACCGCACATTTGGAGGTTTGAGTCGACCCACTGGGGATGAAAGGCCGGGCCATTTACTATAGAAATACCAGTCAGGAGTACCGTTCCTGACACGTGTGGGCACCATGAGTCAGTCAGCTCGATGAGCAACTGGTATAGAGTTTTCTCCTCTGACCTCGTTAATTCAACTGATACCGTCTGCAAAGGAACCCTGATTTCCCCAATAGGTGACATTC